CCACCAACCCACCCATCAACCCTTCACCCTGATTTTCCCCCTTCTCGAGTCTCCTGATTTCTTTTGATGGAGCTCGTGGTGCTTTTTAACGTTCAAAACGAGCCAAAAACCAGGCGGATGAGGAAAATTCCTCAACGCGACACAAAACCATTCCCGTTTTCACCCATTCCCATCGAGATCCTTCACCTGGCAGAAGATCATGGCTTGGCCCACGGTGACGCTGCCGTAGATGTTACAAAGGGCTCCGTACTTTTCTTCCCGGTTTTTACAAACGAAGAAATACTGCCGGATGTTGCCCAGGGTCAGTTCCTCCTCCCGCAGTTTGATGACGATGGGGTTGGAGATGATTCGGACGGCGAAAGCTCGGACGCTTTCTTTGAAAGTGGCTGAGAAAAGCAACATCTGACAATTTTTGGGTAAAACCCTGGAATGGAGTAAAAAGGGGATTTGTTAGCGGCTCAGAATTGTTAAATTTAAAAATAAAAATGTGGATTTAAGTGGATTTTGACAGAAAATTAACTCAATGCAAGGGCTGGAGCGGCTCCGAGAACCCTGGATTCGTGTTTTCACCGATAACCCTTCGCCAGCACGCGGACGTTCTCCGTCGTGGTTCATTTATCGAGTGATTCCCTCAAAACCGAGTGAAAAATGGGGGGAAAAAAAGAAGAAAAAAGGAGGGAATGGGGCTGCAATCCGTCAGGAATCCTCACCTCTGGATGCGAATGCTCTGACAGGAGAGACCCTGCGTGTCCATCATGATGTCGGCTTCATCCAACACGAAGAGGCTGATCTTCGTCACGTCGATGACCTGGCGTTTGAAACACCAATCCAAGGTCGTTCCCGGCGTCCCGATGACGATCTGCTCCTTCAGGAGAGCGCCCTGCGGAACTGCCGGAGGGGAAACGACAACGTCACGTCTTCCTGCTGCTCACCTTGTGGTTTTTCACCCCCCAACCTCCCCGATTTTGGGGGTTTTTTTGAGGGAATCATCACAAAGGATAAAAACTTTGAGATTTAAATCAGTGACATTTCCCCACGGCCTCGGCGAGGTGGGAATCGGGGTGTTTGGAAGCGACCAACGGTCGTGAAAACGCCGCCTCAGCGCGAAACGAGGAGGCAAAACTCCCATTTTCTTGGTGTTGGCGGAGCTGCTGGTGGATCCCTACGCTCGGGGAACAGCGGGGAGATCCACTGGGTCACACCGGGGAGA